TGATGATTTGGGGTGCCGTGACGTCTGCTGGTGTTGGTCCATTGTGTTTTATCAAGTCCAAAGTAAATGCCGCTGTCTACCAGGAGATTTTACCAGCAGGACTTGAGCACCTGCCCACATTGCCAAAGCCACTTCCAAGTGGTTTGCTGACCATGATATTACTGTGCTTGATTGGCCAGCCAACATGCCTGGCCTGAACCCCATATGGAATCTATGGGGTATTTTCAAGAGAAAGATGAGAAACAGTCGATCCAACAATACAGACGAGCTGAAGGCTCAATAGTGCCTCAGCAGTGCCACAGGTGGATCGCTTCCATGTCACACCTCACTGATGCTAGAGTTTGTGCTAAACGAGCCCCAAGTATTGAGTGCATAAATGAACATACTTTAAAGTACTTGAGCTTTTCTGTTTTGCAAATCCTTTTTTTGATTGATCTTAGGAAATATTCTAATATTTTGAGATACTGGATATTTTACTTTGATGAGCTGTAAGCTCTAATCATCAAAATTAAAACAAAACAAAAACATTTGAAATGTTTTACTTTACATGTTATGAATCTAGAATATATGAAGTTTCACTTTTTGAAGTTAAAAAAATTAACTTTTTCACGATATTAATTTTTTTTTAGATGCACCTGTATATATGTATGTATATATATATATGTGTGTGTATATATACACTGTATGTGTGTGTAATTTTTTTTTTTCAATTAAAATTATTCAACCCCCAGAGCCTGTATAATAATTTACAAATGTAAGCTTTTCTGAAGTTTGTTTAATGACATACTGAAAGTGATCAATATGTAATGTGATGTCAGTATGTAATATGTTTGTATTTTTTATATTTTTTTCCCTTAATGCAGCTTGGTTTTAATTATTTAGCCCCTGTTTTAACATTGCTGTTCTTTACATCACTTACTGGTATCGCAAGGGACAAATTAATATTTTGTGACCTGTATAATAACACTTTCTGAGCTTCAACTGTGACACATACATAAAATGAGCTCATGAATGTGCTAAAGTTGAGTTGCAAATATGGCCATACATGAGAGAATTCATGTCATCGGTCACACGGTCAAGACATCTTTTTGATTCCTAGAACATATTTTATCATTATATCAAGCAATTATATTTTTTATACCATCACAAGCTGGCTTTGATTTAGTTTTTAAATACATAATTAAGGTGTGTAAAATTTTATTTAAAACTTTTATTAAAAATAATTCATAATTTTAATTTTAGAATGAAAGGAAAAATAAAGTGGCTATAGAGGCTGTTTAGTGTGGTTAAAATAGAAATGAATGCAGAACCACATTGCACTGTCTTCAACACCATGCCATTGGAAAATAGGTATACTGGACTAAAATTCGGAGTACTACAGTGCCATATCATGACAAATGTAGTTTTCCAATATTAAAATTACATTTTACAGTCCCACTTTTTTAAATACATAAGTAAAATGACATTTGACTGTTTATTTATTTTTTAACCATTTAAACGTTACCATTTTAATGTTCAGTAGATATTATAGGAGTATTATATTGTAAATGCAATCCTTAATACAATTTGTAATGTGAATCTAATTGATATTTTGTCAATCACTACTTAGAAGTAAATTCTCAAATGTGTTAAATTAATTTTGTCTTATTCTTTTGTGATATTAATTTTAGAATATGGTATACTTCATGTTAAATGTTTAAAGGTGGGGTAAGCGATTTTTCAAAAACGCTTTAGAAAACTGATTCGGGCCGACTAGCAAAAAAACTTGTAGCCAATCAGCAGTAAGGGGCGTGTCCAGGGCCGCATTAAGACCTTACAGGGCCCCGGGGCTATGACTCACTGCAGGGCCCCCTATTACAAATATAATATATATTTTGATATAATATATATTTTTATCCTATCAAAATTATACTCCTAATTTTGATAGGATAAAAATCCTATTTAAAGTCCGCATGAAATCAAAATTGACTTTATTTACTTTACTAGCACACATTGCTAGTCTTGATGTAAACAATTAAACCAGTCAAAATACCCCACAGCCAATCACGGGCCCCCTCCTTGTCCGTGCCTAGCCCAATGGTTGATGCGGCCCTGGGCATGTCTACTCATGATGTGGAGGAGAGAGCATTCAGTGCACAGGATGGACATTAGTGAGCCGAGCGACAGAAAGATAGAGATGGCGGATAAAAAACAAAAGAGGAAAATGTCTGCGGAACAATAAGGCAAGAAGTAGGACCCGTGTAAATATCGGATCAACTTTCCAGCGCTGGAGAGAACTCAAGGAGCGGAAGGCCTGCGATCGGACGCCGAGGTTGCTTTGTTTCTTCTCAATAGGTGAGGAACACCATGTCTGCGCTGCAACAGCTAAAGTCTGTCTACACTGGACGCGACAAAGCGACCGCTGAAAATCATTTGAAATTTGTGTCAATACATCATGAAGGAAATCACTTACCCCACCTTTAACTGCAGTATGTCATTAGGGGAAAAGAAAATAGACATTCTCATATGTCTATGAAGATGTGTATATATTTTGTGTGTGTGTGTGTATATAAAGTGAATGTTTTAATGGGGTGTCAGTGAAAGCATATGCAACTCGTGTCTTGAAATGATCACTTTATTGCAGACGTCAGTAAGGTCAGTGCATAATTTTATGTGATCTACACACACTAATTGGAGGAATCACAAAATAAGACTCAATCTCAGTTGCCTACAGCATTAAATATGTGATTGACATGATCTAAAGAACAAATGTTTACTACATATTCTTTACAAACTGAATACTCACTTGACACGTCACTTGTCACCTTTAACGCCTCATTTCGTTTACATTTCTGACTAAAACTGATTAATGATGCAAAGCTGTAACTGACCTGGAGAAGAAAAAATGATCTTAATACTCCTCTCCCTCCTCTTCTCCTTCTCCCTCGACTGAATCTACACCCACCTCCTCATAATCTTTCTCCAGGGCTGCCATGTCTTCTCTAGCCTCAGAGAACTCTCCCTCCTCCATACCTTCACCTACGTACCAGTGCACAAAGGCACGCTTAGCATACATCAGATCGAACTTATGATCAAGCCTGGCCCAAGCCTCCGCAATAGCAGTGGTGTTGCTTAGCATGCACACCGCTGAAAATAAATGACTCTGTCATAAACATTTATCCTGAAAATTAGGATAATTACCAGTACTGAGACACAATGAGGCTTTATAAAATGTAATTTTCAAATGATATATTTGATTACACACCATATTTAATTCAAATTCATATTAATTTTCTAACAAAACATGTTATTAGGTAAACATTGTAAGTTGTGCTATGACACCCGTAACTATAAAAATATGAACCAACACCATTTTCAGATGTGTAATTATCCAAGCTAGGCAACAATGGCATGCAATGTGAAATGCCAGACGATATAAAATAGCTTGCCCCACATGAATGGAAATACACTCACACTGCTTTAAAGAAGAAAAGCAACAGTTTTATTATATAATAGTTGCAGCCTTATATCATTTTGACTTACTACGTGTTTTTAAGATAGAAATGCACATACTTTGCAAATGTAAATTGGGTGTTGAAATAAATTTGACATAATAACATGCAATTCTTTGCTTTAGGTATAAGACTGAATATGGCCACAGAGGCAAGAGCAACCATGGATGCCACCTGCCTCCTGCTCTCCTATTTGAAAAGCTCAAGCTCCACCCGGCTGTTCCCTATTTCTTGCCTGGCAACATGGGTTTCAGCCATTTTACCAAATTGCAGCACTATGTTTCAGTCTACAGTCTATGCAATATAAATTCAATCCATACCGAGGCTTATTATTCTGGGTTTATACATAATTTCTTTGCTGATGGGAATAACTGAATTTGTTTAAAGCACTGTTACACTCTGAAGAATACTGTTTCTATAGGCTACAGCATATGTTTCCTGGGCTTAGCTGGTCAGGGTAGATTATTTATTTGGAGTAGTGCATTTAATGCGATTATGACTGTCTGCATATGCTGCAGTGTGCACTCACTGCTATGCCTTTATGTTTAAATTTCACAAAACAATAAACGATTCCTATAAGCAAGGATAGTTCTAAACAAAACCAAACGTCTTTAGTCCAAACATAAATAAATAAATGTCCTGGTGAATTAAACCTCTGTTACTTAACAATCAATGGATTTGACCGTCAAAAGGTCTTATATATTTAAAACGTAGCCTATTTGACCACAATTGTGTATTATACATTGTATAGGTGTTTTAATATTGTAGCCTATCGCCGTGTTTAAATAATCATCTTCGCTTCGACGTAAAATATTATCAGTCATTTTAACGATTGAGTCGCGCCAAATAAATACCTCGATTGAAAACTGAAAATCACAAAGAGCATATACTAACAGTTCATCAGCATCTAACAGACGAAAAGCGGTCACACATCCCGATACAAAATAGCAGAGTCAACAATATTCACTAGAATATTCCGCAGGAATATATCGAGCAGATGCAGTTTATTAAAGCGATGGCACAGGTGTAGTGCTCCCTCTGTAACCTGCCTCATAATTATAATGTAGGCTACACAAGATTTAGCATATGCTTTCTTTAAAATAATATAGCCTAAAATGTAATAATACAGCTAGTCAGCTACTCACCATTTTCGTATACGTTGGAATAATCTGGAAACAATATTTTGCTGTACTGCGTTACTGTTGTCGACGGCGAAGAGTCGATGTAGTAACTGCGCGCAATCCTCGAGTCGAGCCGCTTTTATAGCGCGACAGAGCGTCTCAGGATATGTGACCTACTAGGCTACAACACTTGTTTCATTCAGGCTTTCTGCATGCCGTTGATTTATGAATAATCTCTGGGGATAATTTGAAATAATTATTACTTTATAGAATTCCCAGCGCATTTTATGTAGGCTACACTTTAAAACTGAAATAAAAGCGCTATAGCTATGACACTGAGTCAGTCGGTTCAAGTTCTCTTTCAAAATCAGAAAGATTTATTTTACATTCTACAGAATACATGGTGCTTGTTGAACAGTTTTTTGGTAGTCTGCAGCATTGTGACGTCATCTACTGCAGCAGAGACGGGCGGTGGCCCTGGTGCGTTTAGATTGGCCCTAGAAATATTTTCTAGGCAGCTTATTAGGTTTTAAAACACATTATGTTTGCATGGATCAGAATGATAAGGTGCGGCTGCATCAAAGCATCTAAAACGCGTCTATTGTTATTCATGTGTAACTATCGGTCTGTTCTGAATGTGTTATAAGAATTGTGTTAAGTAGGTTTATTAAAAAACAACAACACGAATGACATAATGTTCAAATATAATTTTAAATGATTTTTAGGATGCAGGTTTAATTCAGTCTAATAATATTACACGAATGCCACTTTGTGTGATGTTTGTAATCTAGCTTATAGTTTCTGTGCATTGTACTGTATTTTGTTTGGAGTGTTTTCAGAAGATGTATTTGGTTGTTCATAAGCTGAGCCACTCCCTCCTGCAGCTTGCTCTGTCATAGCGACATCTCCATCTTCTCTGCAGTGAGATCAGCACATATCAGCGTCTGCAGCAGCTGGGAAAAACGACAAAATGGTAAGTGAATACTTTAATTTCTCTGTTAATTTTCTGCCTTGTAATGTTCATCTTATTTGACTGTTTTGCGCTTTAATCAGAGGGTTTTGCACAGTTCTTGTAATTATTGTTGCTAGTGTTAGGAGTCAGAGAAGCATGATGAGCTGTCTATTATTCATAAGACAACATTTCTGGTTTGAGAGCCTAAAAAGCTACAGCTAAATAGCTATGTTATATATTTTTCAAAAACTGATTACGGTATTTGCACATTGCATGCCATTGTTGCCTAGCTTGGATAATTACTTTTCTACGTTTGTTAGAAAATTAATATGAATTTGAATTCAATATGTTGTGTAATCAGATATATCATTTGAAAATTACATTTTATAAAGCTTCATTGTGTCTCAGTACTGGTAATTATCCTAATTTTCAGGATAAATGTTTATGACAGAGTCATTTATTTTCCTTTTCCACAACAGCGTGAGTGTATTTCCATTCATGTGGGTCAAGCCGGTGTCCAGATTGGCAACGCCTGCTGGGAACTTTACTGCCTTGAGCATGGGATTCAGCCGGATGGACAGATGCCCAGTGATAAGACTATTGGTGGAGGGGACGACTCCTTCAACACTTTTTTCAGTGAGACAGGAGCTGGCAAGCATGTTCCCAGGGCCGTGTTTGTAGATCTGGAGCCCACTGTGATTGGTTAGTAATTGCCTGATTAGTCGTCTCTTATTGTTAATCCACAAGCTTCACAGCTTTCATTCTCTCCACTCTTTTTTGCGGTTCAGATGAGGTTCGCACTGGAACTTACCGTCAGCTTTTCCACCCTGAGCAGCTGATCACCGGAAAGGAGGATGCAGCTAACAACTACGCTCGTGGCCATTACACTATTGGCAAAGAGATCATTGATCTGGTTCTTGACAGGGTTCGCAAACTGGTAAGCCATCCTTGTAATCGCAGTCAGCCTGTTTACATTCAACATTTGTTTAGGTTTTAACTCAATATTAAATATGGTAGACTTGATAACTGTTTCTTTCCATTCCCTCTCTTCATAGGCTGACCAGTGCACTGGACTTCAGGGCTTCTTGGTGTTCCACAGCTTTGGAGGAGGAACTGGTTCTGGCTTCACCTCGTTACTGATGGAGCGCCTTTCTGTTGATTATGGAAAGAAATCTAAGCTTGAGTTCTCCATCTACCCAGCTCCACAGGTGTCTACTGCTGTGGTGGAGCCCTACAACTCCATTCTTACCACCCACACCACCCTCGAGCACTCAGACTGTGCTTTCATGGTCGACAATGAGGCCATCTATGACATCTGCCGTAGAAACCTTGATATCGAGCGTCCCACTTACACCAACCTTAACAGGTTGATAGGTCAGATCGTGTCCTCCATTACTGCCTCCCTACGGTTCGACGGCGCCCTGAATGTTGACTTAACTGAGTTCCAGACCAACTTGGTGCCGTATCCACGTATCCATTTTCCTTTAGCAACTTACGCTCCTGTGATCTCTGCTGAGAAAGCTTACCATGAGCAGCTCTCAGTGTCTGAGATCACTAATGCTTGCTTTGAGCCGTCTAATCAGATGGTCAAATGTGACCCACGTCACGGCAAGTACATGGCTTGCTGTCTGTTGTACCGTGGTGATGTTGTACCTAAAGATGTAAATGCTGCTATTGCCACCATAAAGACCAAGCGCTCCATCCAGTTTGTGGACTGGTGTCCAACTGGTTTCAAGGTCGGTATCAACTACCAGCCCCCTACCGTTGTACCTGGAGGTGATTTGGCTAAGGTGCAGCGAGCGGTGTGCATGCTAAGCAACACCACTGCTATTGCGGAGGCTTGGGCCAGACTTGATCATAAGTTTGATCTGATGTACGCTAAGCGTGCCTTTGTGCACTGGTACGTAGGTGAAGGTATGGAGGAGGGAGAGTTCTCTGAGGCTAGAGAAGACATGGCAGCCCTGGAGAAAGATTATGAGGAGGTGGGTGTAGATTCAGTCGAGGGAGAAGGAGAAGAGGAGGGAGAGGAGTATTAGATTTCCTTCATTGTCATGCCTTCTCCAGTATGAAAATGAATAGCAGATAGCCTTTAGACTGAATAATTTCACAAGCTTAAAAAATGGCAACATAATGTTCTGCCTACTTGGTGTTAGCTTGAATGTGTGTAATTTGCTGACAAATGTTACAACGAAAGCTAATTGTGCATATTCTGTGTGCTTTTTTTGTTTGTTTGTTTAAGGAATTCAATAAAAACCTTAAAATGAACATTCATATGCTTTTGATCATTTTTTGAATAAATTTAAGGGGACTTCAACAATTAACTGACCTTTTGTTTTTCCTTGATTTTTGGAAATAAAACAGTTTGATTTACTACGTAGAAAAACGAACGTTCAAAACATCCTCCTGTTTTTCAGTTGGTCTTAACTAATGACAAGAGTAACATTTGGGAAAGTCTGCATGTCAAACTTTTGTGAATGACAAATGTTTTCGTTTCCAAATCAAATAATGCAGGAGTTTATTATCTTTTTAAAAGCACAATTTTGACCAAAAATATGCTAATTTTCATATTTATAAGTCTCCTAAAAATGTATATAACTATAATTAATACCACAATTAATGAATTGGAAATTATTTGTAATTTTAGGTACAATTTATGCTACTCAAGGTATTATAATGACTAATAATTATTTTCACTTTTTTGTACTTTTTAGAAAAGTTATTGTGCAGGTATGTACTGTATATTGATTAATTTATTTATGTGGTATTGATGTAAAAGCACATCACAGACAAATTTGACATTCTGTTACATTTTAAATATTGGAATATCATAAACATTCCCAATCTTCGCATAATCCATGCATATGTTAAATGTTTTTGTTGCTAACTTAAATTATCTCAGATTTTTCTTAGAAACTCCAATTAAATGTGTCAGGTAGTGACAATTATTAAAACTATGTAGAGACAATGAAAGAAAGATATTTAAAAGGGGGCATAACATGAGAAATAAATTTTGCCTTGTTTTTTGGCATATAAGAGGCCTTTGTATCATTAAAACATCTTGCAAGTTTCATTGCTTAAAACGTCCTCCTCATTATAAACAAAGCATTTATTTAATCAAGCTCCAAAAATGTCTCGTTTGGATCTGAGGGGCAAGATGACGTCACGGGGGCACAAACATTTACATAAACACTGCCTCCAGAGCAAGACATCGACGAATAGTCATCTTCTCACCATAGGCCCCGCCCACTGGCATCCAGTCGCTAAAGGCTGACTCGATTACGCTTAAAGGGTTAGTTCACCCAAAAATGAAAATTAGCCCATAAATTACTCGCCCTCAAGTCATCGTAGGTGTATATGACTTTCTTCTTTCAGACGAATCCAGTCGGAGTTATATTAAAAATTGTATTTGATCTTTCAAGCTGTTTAATGGCACTCAGCGGGTGTTGCATGCATCAGTCCAAAAGCAGGTAAATACAATTCTCTTTGGATTTGAAACTTTAGTCTTTGCAACTTTACAGGTCTTCTTTATGCATCAAGAGCTTGTAACACTTCAAAGAGAAAGGAAAAATTGAAATCGCATCATATGACCCCTTTAATGCGAGTGTCGCGTTGCGTCAAAACGAATAGAAATTACAATTACTGCCGCTATCTTGTCTACACTGGATACAGTAAACACATGTACATTCGCTTTCTGACACAGTCCACACACTTGAGTCTGTCGTCAGGACAAATGGAGTGAAATAAAAATAATAATTTTTCCACTTTTGTGCAAAAAAACTTTTAACTTAAAGGAACATTAAAATAATAAAATGTCATGACCCCTTGAAAAATTCCCATCTTTTAGTAATACTAACTGCATAAGAATCAATCACTAATTGCCTCAGAATAAAATGTGACCCCCCCATAAAATCCCATCTTTTAGTAATACTACTAACTGCATAAGAATCAATCACTAATTGCCTCAGAAATAATAATGATAATTGTTATATACAAAAATCCTTATTTTATGGATGCCAAGTATTTCTTTAGAAAATGGCATGCTTGTCATACTGTTTCAGTGATGATGACTTTATTGACTGAGCAAAGGAAAAAAGTGGAAGCTATGTATGAATTATTGTAGCACTGTATGTGCTTCAGTCTGCAAAAGAATTGTTCATATCGTTCTACATGTTTTTGTAGAAAACATGTTGATTAACAAACATTATGAAATATGTTATCTCATATGTCAAATTCTCAAATTTAATCAATTAGAATAATGCACTCAGGAAAAAAAAATTATATTTAGAGGTACAACGGTTTTGTCACTGGGGCACTACTCTCAAAGGGCCATCTTTGTACCTTATTTACCCCTAAAATGTATCATCTTAAGGGTACAAATTACTCATCATTAATGGTACTGTCTCAGTGACAAGTTTAGGGTGCAAGTATGAAATGAAATACTTAAATATGAAACATTCACTCACTCACTCTTAATGAGTGAGTCACTTAACTACTCATTAATGCTTGAGTTATTCAAAAAGCTAGATGTTTGCACAAATAATATTTAACGCAGCAGAAAATTTCATCACAACAAAGAGCAACATTTCAAACCAGTCAGGTTAACCATCATTCACAAGTCCTGCGATCAGTGGATGTTTAGGAGATTCATTTTGGTTCTTTTGCATTGAATTTAACTTCTACCATACACTGTCATATTTAAAATGCTTTGTTCAGTCCCGTTAATATTATAAATTAAACATTTGCACATAAAGCTGTTGATGATCCGTGTTTTGTAGCAAGAATTCACGCATCAAATGGAAAGTGTCAGAGTAGTGCCCAGGTTGAGCTTGGGAGGGAGTGACTGTAAGGATGAATGTTAGATACATAAAGGAAGATGAGATCAGGGGCTCTGGAGACTAGGAAAGGGCTGGGCTGGGTGGAGCTTAGATCAACTGACCAGCTTCATGTATAAAAGCCACAGTCTCACATCCTGTTGTGACTCAGCTTTGATCAAAACTATAAAGACAAAACAACCAGACGAAGAGGAAGATACAACGAGGCATATCATTAAATAAAAGGTTTAAACAACAATTAGAAGTATAACCATGAGCCACTCTACATTTCGCACCTCTTATCACCGCACTTTCGGGACGCCTGTCTATAGCCCTGTGTCCAGTCGCATAGGGGGCCGCTACATCTCCTCCTCTGTTCCCACTCGCTCTGTGGACTTCAGGAGCCGCTCCAGTGCTCCGGCCCCCCGTCTCTCTTATGATAAAGTGGACTTCTCACTGGCAGGGGCCATCAACCAGGAGTTCCTTGCCACACGCAGCAATGAGAAAAGGGAACTACAGGAACTCAATGACCGCTTTGCCAGCTTCATAGAGAAGGTCCGGTATTTAGAGCAGCAGAACTCAAAGCTGACTCTGGAGCTGGGTCAGTACAAGGACCAGCAGCAAGGGCCATCAGGCCGCATCAATGAGCTGTGCCAGCAGGAGATGAGAGAGATGCGCAGACAGCTGGAACTGATGGGCAAAGATCGAGACCAGATGCAGCTGGAGAGAGACAACCTGGCCGAAGATGTGGCCCTGCTGAAGCAGAGGTGCGTGTGCTGACTGGTGTATGCTTGTATGGGATAGATAACAGATAACAAGTCCTTTAATATATATATATATAGAGAGAGAGAGAAAAAAATCGTTCACTTTTATATTACATGCATTGTTTAAATTTTTAGAAAATTTCTGACATTTAAAATGTTTGACACAGGCCGGTGTATTAGTGGATTGTTCACCCAAAAATAACAATTTCATCATCTACTTGTCTTCAGGTCATTCCAAACCTTTGTTTTTTGTAATTATATCTTATGGACATCGACTTTCATTGTATTGACCAAAAAAGTTCAAATTTTCAAAATTGTGCTCGGCTGAGAAAATACATACAGGTCTGGTGTAACACAAGGGTGAGTAAATAATGAGAGAATTTTCTTTTTCTTTTTACTGTTAAGAGTAAAAATTATAATGGGTTTTACACTAAGTTAAATGTGCTAAAGCTAGAAATGTCTTTGGGCCCCATTTCTAATGATGTTATAGACCTAACAATACATGTTGTATCTTATGATTCTGAAAGATTAAGCTTTTGTTTAACTGTCATAATTATAATATTCTTCTTTTTTTTTTAATTCATTTGTTTACACTGGCATTATGGATATAGAACTGAACTGAATATAGGCTATTTTAAGTTTGTTCAGGATGGAGAAAATATGTTTACAGAAAATATGTTTATTTTGATACAGAGGACAAAAGAAAAGAGCATTGCTTTAGTGGAGAAACTTTGCAGATATCACTTCAGAGGCTTTAGGTGATATTATGGTTGAATACAATAAGATTTGATCTTTACAAATAACAGTAGGCTAGGCTATGTCTGCATAATGATGTTCATGTTATATGGGCGTGGCAGCGAATGAAATGAACAGAGACAAAGAAACTGCAGCAGGGACCCTCCCATCATCCTCATCATGTCTAACGTGGTTAGACTGTGTCTAATGGATGAGGCATTTACAACTAATGCTCCATATATACACACACAACCTAATGTAGGACTATTCAGACTTTATGATGAAGGACATCATGCTACTGTGCGTGTACTTTGAAAGTACCCATTGAACGACTTTAACCAACACTCCTAACTTTATTAAAATTCTGCTTTATGCCCATTTCACACCGTACACGAAATCGGTGCATGCGCAAATTTGCAGCTTAATTAGCAACAGTAACTAAGGGGGGGCGGGTCTTTGCGAACTGGTCTGCGTGTGCTGTCGCGCTGACAGAGCTGCGCTGCGCCTCAGTGCTGAACCCTGATGATAAAACGATTTCCGAGCAGTTTTCTCCGACTAGAATAGGGAGGAAATATATTCTAAAAAAATCGAAAGAGAAAGTAAAACAAGAGTTATAAAATATCAATCAAACAGTATGTAAAAAGCATTTATTTTTATAGAGCAACGTTCCCTTAAAACATTAATTTATAAATCATAGACATTAATAGACAAATTATATGATAGATCAGTGATTCTCAAACGAGGGTAAGCATAGCCCATACAGAGGGTAGGCAACAGGCCTAACACAAGCAGGTCCCGGGGGGCACACGAAAATATTTATAGCCTAGGCCTAATTAAGACAACTGTCGGAAATTAACGGAGGCGTTAATTGGGTGTAAAATTCTAATAATAGGCTTAATGATGAAAAATACATCTCGCTGTTTTTTGTTTCTGCACCGGAATAAAGGATAATTTAGGATAGAGGGTAATTGCGACTTTTTTTTATTTTCTTCTAGTAACTGCAAGTTTATATCGCGCAGTAGTTCTTTGTGATATAAACTCAGAATTGGGGAAAAAAAATCAAAATTTTAAGATTAAAAAGTCGCTATCAAGAATGTGTTATGTTGTTCAACACTGACACCCAGCCAACATTTGTGTGTGGGGCCCATGTGGGTTTGACATGGGCTGAAAAAGTGGGCCCAAAATGGGATTGTCCGCGGGTTCCATAATGGCCCAATGTCAATTGTCCACATGGATTTCATGTGGGATTGTACTTGCCAACAGGTGGGCCCCAACTGGGCAACATGCGCAAGACCCATCTTGGCCCCAGCTTTATTTTTTATGTGGGTACTACAAGGTTACTACATGGGCTGAAATATGGGTTGTAAGTGGGTTTGTCCACGGGTTCCATGTTGGCCCCATGCAACATACCCATGTAGGTGATGCCCATTTTGGGACCATGCCCACTTGGTACCCATGTAGACCCAGCATAAACCATGTGGGACCCACATATACATGTTGGCTGGGCACTGGTGCAGTTCAATACAAATAAAGTTTATAAAAGTTATTTGTGACTTACATTTTAGACATAGGCTAATGTCTATGTTTTTGCTCCAACAACAGCCAGAACCGAACAGATGCGGTCTCTGAGCAAAAAACAATTTTGTTTCCGAATAAAAGCATTTCAAGTAGGCTAAATAGGTTGAATTGATTCAGTGACTTACTGACTTGCCGCCACTTATAACGGTTTTAGTTGTACATAAATAAATAAATAAATTAATTAATTAATTAATACATATATATATATATATGGGTGATTCTATAATTGGAGATACATTTGGCATTGCAGAAAGTTAAGAAAAAAACTTTTCACTAACAGCATAACAGGAAAAATCCTTCTTGTTTCATTAGACAAACAGTCCTTACATTCCATCACTTGAAACTGAGATAATATTTCACCTATGCATACCTTAAAAATAAAAATAAAAATACTTATGTCTTCACAGAACCGTCCACTAGCAAATATTTTTCATCTGAAAATGTTTTATATACAATATCCAGTTAAGGGTGCAAAAATATAAAATAAAAATATAAAAATAAAAAAAGGGTGCAATAACCAATATTATAAGGGTGCAAAAATAAATCAATACTGTTTATTAGATTTTAAACAACACTTTTATTGTTTTTTGTGAAAATAGTTCATAAACAGAGTTGACCCTTTAAGTAACATAATTGTAAAGTGACAGAATTGTCCGATGGACTGTCAATTCTGTTACCGCATTGTCAGCATTGTCACTCTACATTGGTAACAGAGTTTGACAGTAACAGAATTGACAATTTTCTTTATTTTTTGCCAAAAACTCCACTTGCTAGCATAAATGCTAAGAGCACATGGCACTAATGAAAT